GGTGTAAGTGTACGGCAGGTTGCCGGGTGTACAGACGGGTACGTGGGTTTGTACGCGTGCATCGTCGCCGTCGCCGTGGCGCGCTCGCACGCGCACACGCTCGACCGGTGAACGGATCGCGTACACGTATACACGCTTGGACGCGACACGCCTACCTAACGCCGCGACTGCGGCAGAACGCGGCCAGAGAGTTGCCTCGCACCGGTAAATAATGCAAGCCGGGGTAATGGCGCTATCTCTGCGCATCTTTTATTAAACGTTCGCTTCGCCGCCCCTTCCACCCCCGGCGCCCCCCTCCCTCGGTGCCCCTCGCGGCCGCGCTCCTCCGCGACCACCCTCGCAATCCCTCTCGCAACCCCGCCGCTCAACTATTCGAGCCAGAACAACCCACGCCACCCCGTACCTCCTCGCCCCCCCCCCCGGCTCAGGTTATTGCCACCCTGACTGCTCTCTTCTTCGCGGAAAAGGTGTGCTCGTCGAGAGACCGCGAATCGCTCGGTGCCCCCGCCACGTCACCTCGCCGCTCGTCCCTCATTGTTCCCCGTTCCGGAACTCGTCGACATCCTGGATGCATGCTCGTTCAACCGATTTGTCCGACGCGTGGTTTTTCTTTTTATCTTTTTTTTCCCGGAACCAATCGAAACGGTGGCTGGTGAGACCGGGGGATGAGATTGCAGATGAGTGGATCGTAAAAATCGATTTTTTGTTCCTATTACTAACGGCGGGTAACAACAATTGGTATCTCGTTAATTTCCCGTGATCCGCGCCTCCCGGAGCGATCAATTCTAATCGCACTATCGCCAGGCTGCGGAGATCGAAAAGAGAATAGCGAGGAATCGGGATTTAGGAGAGGCGTTTCGTAATTCGAGCGTGGAAACCTGAAGGGCTGCAGGCAGCCGTCGATTTTCGCGGGCGGTGCTGATTTCAATTAGCATTATTATTAGAAGCGTACCGCATCGCGTCGGGCGACAAGGAGCGGGCGATCGTCTCGCGTTCGCTCTCTGATCGACGTCGCACACGCACACAGCGAGACGTGCATCCGAACGCGCAGGTCCCTTTCACACACACAGGCGTACGCGGAACCTGCACGGGTAGAGCACCCCGAGCGACTGACGCTTTGCTAGGGGGTGTTTGAAAGCGGTGAAATCAATGCTTCTGTTTGCACTGTTGAGGTCGAACCGAATTCCGTTCTCCTGCCTCTCTGCGTGCCTGCGTTCGCCTCTGTGTGTATGCGTGTCTCCGCAGCCAGATACCAACCGTGATGCGTGTGTAGGTTCAACCGTTTACGTTAACCGACGCGCTCCGCCAAGGTGAAAGTGCTCCCGCCATCGGTTCTGCTAATTCGCTGCTCGATAGTTTTCCCATCGGCAAAGAAACAAACTATTTCACTCGATCGTAATTCTCGATCCAGGTTCGTCATTTTCGTTCGACCGGAAATCGATCGACGTTGTCGCCGGGGGATTAGATCGTGTAGACGGTAATTGAGCGAGAATGGCTAATTTGCGGCGAACTTACGGTTATGTGTGTGCCAGATTTAGTGCCGGCACTAAAATCTCGGCACGGTATTACGTATCAGGCTGGCGCTTGAGTTAAGTAGATCGGGGCGGTATTCGTCGGACCATTAAAAGATGCGCTTGTCAGGTAGTTTTCTCACAGGTACATTTATAGGAAGCCTTATTCTTGCCATCCCTCAACAGAGCTTTGAGGGATCGATGCAATCGAATCGACTCCCGCTAATTCGCATTAAGTATGTGAAACGGAGTGTAAGCCTCGCGAATCAGCGTCGACCGTAAGGAGAGAGCGGCTGGTAGCGTGATAATCCTCGATGATCTCGTTTTCGTTACGCGTAAGCGCGATGCGAGGGACGGGACAAGCGGGATGCTGCGAGGTTGAACGTCGCGGCGGGAAACGAGCTGAACAAGGAAAGAGCGAAGCGCGGCCGACGAAAGATAACGGCTCGCAGCCAATCGATCGATTCGCGGAGGCTTTTGTTCGTCTATAGTCTACGGGGATCCTATCCGATTTAACTACGCGCGCGCGTGCTAGAGAGAATCAGTAAGAACCAGCTTTACCTTTCGTTGCCATCCCTCACCGATGCAGAAAGAGATATTGCGAAAACACCGTTTCATTCTGGTCTCTCTTGCAATTTTAAATGCAAGTTCAAAGGAAACAATTTTGTTGAAATACCCACGTTACCTTATTTATATTAAATACAATTTCTTACGAAAAAGTATAATAGAATGAGTTATTCGAGGCTATTCAAGTATCTGTACCTTGATGAGAAGTCTGAAATTAATCGCACGACACGTACAGAGATCTCATTAAGCTGCCGCTAATTAACGATTCTGCGAAAGAACGAAGGACACGCCACGCAGCTGTGGTGCACCGAGCACTTTTTTCTTGGCAAACATTTCGTTCGCGAGCCACGTTTATAAATAGGAGATTCGTCGGTGACCCTCGTCGCGTTTCCCGAAGACAGCTATCGAGCTATTACACGGTCAAGTGGAACACGGGGCTTCCCGATGCGTGCCACGACCTCAAATTGCTAATCCGTACACGAGTCCCGAGGATTCGAGCTGTGTTGTACGAGCGAAAGCTACCGGAAGCCGGCGACGTAAAGCGAATAGCCGGTTGACCGTGGATAATTGGTAGCTGCAGCCTCGCGGCCAGGTTTCATGCTCGTACGTTTCACCTGTTCGCTCTTTTCACGGTAATTTCTCGCGGCTGATAACGACCCGACTGGGAGAATTTAAACGAGAAAGGGCCAAGAATTTAAATGCTTTTGTTGCAACCTGACATGATACGGTTTGTTTACAATTTCGTCGAATCGGCCTCAGTTCTTACCTCCACACTGAAATCTGAATGTGCATATTCATGCAGCGAATTACTCGCAGCGTATAAACGTCACGTGCTACTTTCGCGGGTAAATGCGAGTATTCGCAAGACGATCGTCACGTTGAGTTCGTGGCGTAGCGTTCTGAAGATAAGACAATTTTCTATTTGCAGTTGCGTTTGCAGCAAATAATTCGCCGCATGGAGCGTAAATTCTTACGTAATAAAGCGCGACTTGAATTTTTCTCTTGTGCCAATAGCCACGATCTCAGCACGGTCGTCGATCAATTGTTAATTCGCGGCCCTAATGAGCCCAGACTGCTTGGAAATATGCGGCGAATCAGGGGGGGGGGTCACTAAGAGTCTCGAGACAGATCATTAATTAGCGCCCCCGGTCTATATCCGTGTTCTCGGTCGGTGAGGTTAAGCGTTCTCGAGAAAGAATCTGCGTGGCACTCGGAGGAGAAGAGGGGCCGGGGGTGAAAGAGGGGAGGCGTGCCGCTGACGAGGTTACGCCACTGTGTCGGGGGTTTCGGGACCGTGGGGTGCGCGAGTGTCGCGCGGGGGTTGGTTATTTCACGGTCCACTCGCTCCACTCACACCCCTTACAGACGGCGGCGGCGACGGCGGCCCTTTCCAAATCCACCCCTAAGAATTAATTCGAGAGAATCGTCCGGCGGCCGAGCGACAGCCACCTCTATCGGGCTTTGGCAATTCCCCTCCCCCTCCTCCGCCCTCTCCGCGGATCATCTTCCCTGTGCCGCCCGTCGAGCCACTTTCTTCTCGTCTCTCCTTTCGCATTACCGTTCGCGTCGATCTGACTTTCTTACGGCTGCCATGCCGCCGGCTTGATAACGTCGCCGTCGTACCGAAGGGTCCGACGGACGGAGGAACGACGAAGGATACGGCCGTTTTCATTGTCTATGGGTGAACGGACACCGATTTCGATAAGGCTAATTCTCGTGACCCCCGATTTTTCATCAATCCACCGTTTCATAGCCCACCGGATTGATTCGTATTACCGGGACCGTAATGACTACTGCGGGCGACGTGCAGTGTTCTTCGGCGGTGATTTACGCGCTGACACAGACGCGTGAAATACTCGTGCGTATGTCAAATGACAAATTTCATTGGCCCGTCGATCGTTGGAAATATTCTTCTCGTTAATGCACGGATGACGAATGGCGTTATATCTCTTAACGAATATGGCTCGTCGCCAAACGGCTATTTGTCAACGGCTTCGCGCAAAACTCGCTAACTTAATTTCGAATTCTGCTCTCTTTTTTTTTCACTCGAATAAAATACTTTTAACATCTCTCGTGAAATAGAAGAATAATTAATTAATCCTTAGGTACTGTGTTCAAGCTGAAGGTGAAGTGTAAATAGCGTAAGATTGTCCTATGCATCAAACGTTCGACATTGTCCCGAGCAAGCCTTTGTGCATAACGGAAACACGGGTCGAGGCTCTGTTTCGGCCGGTGCTTTCTAATTTCGGCATCAGAAGCAAGGCGCGAGCAATTTTCCGTCAATTGAACGTGGCCGCCTTTGGCTCGTGAACGTGACCGACGACAAGTCACCACTGTGTATCGCGAACCGTGCATGGAAGCTCGGATGAGCTTCGAATATTCAACCGTGGCGTATTCCTCCGCCGGCTAATGGCTCGGCTCGCTTAGCGTTCTCCTTTCTCATTGCCACACCGCTTCCACGAAAATACACGGTGTTTGCGAAATCGTGATACAACCGGCAAGGGGATGATTCCTCATATAAAATCTGGTCGAAAACAAGAAATATAGTTTTTTCATACGGCAACACCCTGTATAGACATGCTCTAATGAACGTGGAAGCAAGATCGTGGGTCTGACGAGAAAAAGGGAACATAGATTAATTTGAATCCATCAAATTAAATTCTGTTAAAGGCTGAATTGCGTTTGTTTACTTTCAGTAGATGTTAAACGAATTTGGTGAATAAGCTTAGGAAGCGATGCTCGTGGTGGAGCTATGGAGGAAGTCGGAAGGATCTGACTGTAATGTGGAAAATATGGTCGATTTTCAGCCGGGCTGGGTGATCGATGGTGGAGATTTCGACGGCGGGCGCATATGTACGTTGCATGGGATAATCTGCGTGTATTTACTGGCAAAGGCTTACGAGTGTAACGTACGGTATTTTATTTTACACAGGAACGTTCCACTGCGTCCCAACGTGGTTCAGTTTTTTTCACAAATTGCAGTTTCGGCACAAAAAATTTGCTCGCTAAATCCTTTCGCGTTCATCCACTCGCGAGCTCGGCGCGTGACAGACACACCCCCGCATCGGTCCACGTTCACGATTCATCCTCACGCACAACTTACAGCCTTACGAGCGCTTTTTGCATTCCGTTTCGCCCCTTTGGCGCCCGATAGAGTTCCACTTCGTATTTAGACACGTTCCCCACCTCCGTCCTCGATAAGCGGCGCAGGTTACAATTGCGGCGAACAGAAGGAAAACAAAAGAGAAACGAGGGACATTCGCTCGAAGATAAGAATCCACGACGCTTCGAGCCCCTTAACTTTTAAATGTTCTCGTTCGATCCCATTCTCCGCATTCGCGTCTCGCTTCGTTTCTCTCGTGGCAATCCGCAGCGAGTTATCGTCTCTCGTTCAAACATCAGCCACGGGTATTGCGTCGAAACGCAAAATAAGCGAACGCTTGGCGTTCGTTTAATTTTTTAATTATATCCGAACCCGAAGGGGTGGTTTACGCGCGGTGCTTGCAATCGAGCTGCCTGTTATTCTTCGGCCGCGTATCACTGCGTATTTATCTTTCCGCTCGACCGACGGATTCCCTGCCTCCCTCGGCCTCTCTGCCACGCCGAATTGCCAGAGCGGCGCGCCCAATTTTAAACGGCTCGACAATATCCTCCAAGAGATACGCTCGTTTTCCGCGCATCACCCCCGCGCGTAAACCGATTACCCTATCGAAGCGTCCCACGTGCGACGCGACGATCAACCAACCAAAATTACACATACATATACAGTCGCGATGCTTTTGATCGCTTGCACGAGCTCCTCCGTCGATCCCAGGCTTCCTATACAGATATCTGGAGGTGAAAGACAGATTCCCTTCGGTATTTACAAATACGAGAAGCAGCGTCGTCTAGTACAGACTTCGACGGATCCGACACTTACAATTAGAACAACGTAAGACGTACTTATCTACAAATGATCAAGCTGCGAGATCAAAATCTGTAAAAGACGCTTCCTCGATATACATATTATAATATGTAGCAATGAAAGCGATTCGTGAACCCTATTTTACATACAACACGTTCCCCTCTAGTTCGAACGAGCTTCAATCCCAGTTTGTTCGTCCTCCAGATATTCCACGCAACTATGTACACACTGGTATAATCGTTTCAGGTGAAATAAAGATGAAGATATGGTGAATTAAGATTCGGTTGTTGTCGCGCGTTGAGTCTGTTTTCACACCGGGTTAAAACAGTTGCGTATCCATCAAGAACGACTCTCTTAGTTATCTCCGGGTGGCGTAAGATTTACATCGTAATTAAATAGAGAGAGCTCAACGTTGATAATTTCGAACGCATCGAACGACGTTCCCGTCAATCACAGCTGTCTCCCTTGACTAGCGGATATAGGTAGACGATCGCGATTTTAAATAGTTACCGTCACATTCCTCTCCGCGACTTGAAGGATACGTGTCGGCCATCGCTGGTTCAGGAAGGCGAAACGCGACGAAGACGTCCGCGGCTGTCGAGATCGCTACGCGTGCGGATGCGTGTGCGGATGCGGATGCGTGGGCAGCGACAGACCCGTGGAGGATGGAGTGGACGTGGGCGGTGGGCCGGCTGCAGTTACCGGGGTGCCGGGCAGGTGATGACCGAAGAACGTCGGTCCTGTCGGAGGATAAGGTGACGCGGCCGGGTGATAATAGCCAGGCGGCGGCGGCACGGGAGGTACGGGCGGTGGATGATGGACGTGGGCGTGCGGATGCGGATGCGTGTGCGAGTGCGGCAACGGGTGCTGGTGCGGATGGGTGGCGAAGAGGAAAGCCGGAGCGTAAGGTGGAGGATGTGGCGGCGTGGTCGGCACCGTCGGGCTGTTAACGTCCAGTCCTGGGTTCTGTTTCTTCCACTTGGTTCGCCGGTTTTGGAACCAGATCTTCACCTGGGTTTCGGTGAGAGACAGGGACAGGGCTAGATTCAGGCGTTCGCAGACGGAGAGGTATCTGGTGGTCTTGAACTTGTTCTCCAGGGCGACCAGCTGTTCGTACGTGAACGCGGTCCTCGCTCTCCGCGGCTTGCCCCCCGTGCCGCCGCCGCTACCACTGGTTCCGTTCTGACTGCTTTGGTTCTGGCCTTGGCAGCCTTGGCTGGCTTGCACGCTGCTCGACGACGACGAGGAGGAGGACGATTGCCTCTTCTTGCAGTTGGACGAAGAGACGTTGCCCGACGCGGAAGCGTTGTTTTCCCTGTTAGCGTTTGGTGATTCTTGGTCGGTGACCCTCATCTCGACGTCCTCGTCCTCGTCCTCTTCGTCAGGGTCCTCGTCCATGTCTTCCATCCCGGTGTCCGGTGTGCCCTCCTCGTCCTCCTGGCCGCTACCGCAAGCGAACTCGCCCCGCGAGTCTCCATCTGAAACAAATAATAATGATAATAATAATAATAATGCGATCAGAGAAAGTCTCGCGAAGGGAGATTACCAGTGGCAATGAAAGCGATATGGTGTTGTGTGACGAAAATTGATTATACCGCGGGAGATAAAATTGCGACGGGGGTGTCGGTTTACTCATGACGAAACGGTAGCGCGAAACATGACCCCGATCATTGTTTCACGCCCTCGCCACGATAGCGTTCAGATTCTCCCTGTCGTCGCTGGAAAATCCGTTTTCGTCTCGAAACAGAAAATATACGGTGTAACGAAAGAATACGGTTAACTCCGGTTGCCCCTCGGGAGAGCGTCCCGGGTTATCACCGTGAACGCGGGACCGCAGCCAGGAGGTTCGAAAACGCTCGACGGCAATCAGTTTAACGAGCGTGTCGTCGGCCGCGACCGCAAAAACTGGTCCCGCGTATCGAACCACATTTAATTTAATCCCTGTTTGCTCGAGACACGGTTTAATCGCGAAAAGGTATCCCGGAAGATATTCCGGGGACGGGCCAGGCAGCGCGCGACCGACCGACAGACCGACCGACCGATCTCTGCGAAACGATTGAAACGCGTGAAACTCGGCGTGAGGGGAAGCGAGAGGTAACGGCCAACCGGTCGACCCGAACGAGGGATAGAGAAAGAGCGGCCAATCGTTCGCTCAATGAGAGAGGAGATTGGAGATTCAATCAGCACGCAGATGTCCCGGGGACAGATATTCCCTGGCTCCGGTCCGTGGAGGCTGGGGTGCCCCTGGGAAAGGAGGAGGGCGGGGATAGGTTTCCGGATAAAACCAGAGACGGAGAGAGAAGCTGCGGCGGGACTAAAAGAGACGGACCGACGGCGAGGAGGGTGTAGGTGCAGAGGAAGACGCGACAGAGTGGTACAGTATAGCGGAAAGCGAAGGAAAAAGAGAGGATAGAACGAGAGAAAGAGAGAGAGAGACGGCGAGGTAGAGAGGGACTTTATCCGAATTGGCGTGGCTCGTGGCCCATAGCCTAGCACCGTGGCCCGGGGGTTGGAAGTCCGTAGGGGGCGACGGATCGAGAAGGTTTACGCCGTAATGGGATTTGTATCTCGTTAACGCGCGATCGTTCTTGCCCCGTCGTACAGACCGTCGACCACCTCCCCTTTCTCCTCTTCCTTTCTTTCCTTCCTCTTTCTTTGCCCATTTCCGCTGCCACGTATCTTTTAGCCGCAGACAACACCCCGTCTCATCCCTCTCTCTATCTATCTACGCGTGTGCGTGTCGATCGCGCCGATTGATTACGTCTAATTGAATTGCGTAATTTATATTGTCCCACGGTTTCATCCAGCACAGCTGCTGACCGATCTCGCCGCGCGGTTCGTTTCCCATTACTCCTTACTTACCCGGGCGACACCGTGAATTTCCCTCCGATTCGAACGAGGTCTACAGGGAATCTACATCGCTTATAGCTTCGGATAACCGATTATAAAGTCTGTCGATGTCGTGAAGTTTATCGGACAATTAAGCCGACACGCATTCGTAACGAGCTGCCTCTTATGGCGTTTATCGAGTTTTTATAGCCGCGCGAAACCGTTTGTCTCGTTTCGATCTTCTTTGCCGAGAGCGATTCGCGTGATCGGGGATTGCATTCGGTCTCCCTAGGGTGCACCGTAAGGGTGCACGAGGGACCCGGGGGTACGGAGCATTGTCAGGGATACTTATTTCGGCTTTTCTCATTAACTACAATGACAGCGTTTAACAGCGAACGTCGGTATCTGGGAATTAACCGAGCTCCCTCGACGACGGAGCATGCAAAAAGCATTTCGAGCTTATTATATTTTAGAAACGTTCAATACTCTACGAATTTCAGTTGGTAATAATCGATTGGCATCGAAATTAGATTCGAGAGGTTTGTTTCACCAACAGACAGGCAATTATTATAGACGGCAAGAGTCAAATAATCGACTGTTGGCGCGCGGATCCGATAGGATAAGTCCGACGGCTAAGAACATATGGTCACGTGTCTGGAATCCGCAGGGAGGAAATATCGCGGTGGCGTTGATCGACGATGAACCAAGGGTCCAAATTGCTTTTAACGGCGATGATTTGAGCTCCCGTGGAAACTAATTGTCCTCGTCAGCAGTCGCCTAATTATCTATACTGCGTCAAACGAGTCCATTGTATTCGATGAACAAACTCAAATAGATCTTCTCGAAAATCTTCCCCTGTGTATTTAGCTTCAAATTAAATTTTAATTTTAAAGTTTCCACTTTAGATCGAGATTGCGAAGAAGGATGTAAAAAGAGGCCAGCAATTATCGTATTAAGGATACGATCAGAGTCGGTTTGGAGAAATGTTGGAGAATCGTGGAATTGCTCTCGGATGGGCTTGCCGATAACGAGGACACGAGGGAGGAGCGTTTAACGACAGAGCGCGGTAATTAGAATTTTTCCAGAAATCTAGCGGAAAATCCAGGAGATTTCGTATCGGTGAACTAAGGGGATAGGGCGATCTACGACTGACGACGACGTTTGAAAAGGGGGAACGGGGAGGCGAAGCGTGGAACGAGCGAGGAAGGCGGCGGTGTAGGAGGAGGAGAGAGAAGTCATTATGATGCAGAAGAGCCAATTTTCTGGGCGGCTTGACGCGATGCGACGCGATACGCGCGGCATCGCCGCGCGATTATCATAACAACCGAGGATATTATTCAGTCGACGGATTTGCCGTGGCTGACGGCGAACGTTCCCCGCGTGTAAGCGTGTATACGGTGTCGGCAGTCGAAAGGGATTTCGTCGATCAGCTTGGCCGGCTGGCTCTGATGCACTTTTAATGGGAACCCCTGACCACCCTCGAAGATGGATGAGTCCAACAATCGTGTAATCCCGATTTCATCGCGACTCCGATCGATTTTCTCCAAGAAACTTCTCCGCCCTTCCTGCGTGCCCTCGTTTCGCGATCGTTTTTTCAGTTTTTCTTCACCGTGCCTCGAAGATCGAAGACGACATCGTTCGACAGCGCCGGTTGATTCCGTTCGCAGCCAGCGTCCCGTACCGGGATAAAGGGACGATAATGATGGGGTTCAAGGACTGGTTAACGCAGATTAGCGGAGCAATTTGTCACGCTCCGACAGGCCGCCCTCGCGAACCCCCTCCACGGGTCTACAGCCACCTTCCGCCTACCCTCCCGTCCAACCTCCCCGCCGTCCGCGATAGACTCCTTTCCCTCTGTTTCTATACTTCTACTTTCTACATCCCCCTTTAACGGTTCCTTCCGCGTTTCCGTTATCAGCCGGCCAGATTCCCCTTATCTGTCCGGCAGACTCCATTAAATTCGAAAGTCAACTGTGAAATTGGGATCGCGCGCAGACTCAGAATTCGTTCATCGGAGAGAGATAAGCTCTCTGCGACAGATGCGAAGGACAAATAAACCCGTTAACTTTTCTTCCGTTAATAAAACGGTCCTCGGTCTCGAGTCGACGAAGCCATTTGCGGCGAACGGCCAACCGTGTCAGTATGTACAGCAATTAAGCGAGCCGAGTTGCTTGAATGAGAACGATATTAACGGTCCCCGTGCTGGCGGTCTATATCAACCCGTCTACGTCGTCGCTTTTGTCGGGATATCCTCGAGTACACGCAAATAACTCTGGAACGGGGCGAAATTGCACGTCGGCGCGGGGAACAGGCCGTCCTTTCAGCGTCTAAAGTTAGAACGAGGAAGAAGCGGGACAGCGCGATGCCTCGGGGGTACGGGACGAGGATGCACCGGGCTTCGGAGACGAAAAAATCACGTTCAAGATCATGGGACCTCTCGCGGGAGACGAGATCCATATGTTCCACGGTGAAAAAAAGAGGGAACGCGTTTTCGCGAGCGGTTACGAGGAAGGAAGAGGAGCCGCGCGAGTAAGGAGGAAGCAATAAACATGCGAGTTCGCGGAGAAAAAGCCCTCGGGATTAAGGGGACTTTGCGAGTCACTCGAACGCGACTGATTCGCTCGAATTAAACCGTCACGGCGATGTTCTCTGCGAAATTTATGAACCAGAATGTTAGGATTCCGAGGTAGAAGAACACCAAAGTCGATGGGGTTTGCATTGTATTCTACGATTCCACTCGATTTCTCTTTTATCCCATTGCTGAATTACTAGACGACACGATTTTATATGAAATTTAGGTATTATTGTCTTCCCAACGATGGAATTTAAATCTGATTTATCAGCCAGATGTGTACGTATTTACGTATCACATCATTGGATTAAGGGGGTAGGATTCTGATGAGACAGTATACTAATATTACCTACTAAATTCACTCAAAATATGTGTTTACATTCGACTCTACATCTTTATTTCTCAGAGAAGCGAAACAAAGTTTTAATGTTTGGTTTAAGGTTCATTCTAGGGCGCTGTGGTTATCATAAAGTTGACGTTTAAAATAGAATGTTACAAAGTGAAGTAAAAATTGTAGTTTCTATGCGTTGGATTTTAAGTAATTTTGTAGCAAAGGGAAACTGTTCTGAATGAAATAAGAACCAAAGCGGCCAGCAATGAATCTTAAGTTAAACATCAAAACGAAGTTTATTATAATACTCTGAGAAATTAGGATACATAGCTTGAAACGATGAATCTCAGCCCGTTTTTAATTGTTAATTTTTCCTAGTTTTTTCCTTATTTTTCGAAATCATGTCAAAATCCAACCATATTGAGCATTAAAAAAATGACGCTATTGTCGGGTATTTTCTTTTTATGGAAAACTAACGCAATGAAGAACGGATTGAAAATCATTGTACTAAATTCCCCTAAAATCCGTATAATTGTAAATTGATATCCTGTAGTGCATAATCACCTTCGTGCACGCTATCTGCCCGGCGGTGTCGTCTGTCGTGAACGCGACCGTGGACGACCCTGCCGCCGGTGAACTTGTTCGGATCCAGTATGTTCTCCACGGAGAACGCTAAACACCGTTTATTCGCTTGCACGGTGCTAGCCGTTGTCGTGATGCCACCCGACGTTCCGGTACTCCTAGCCGTGTTTCCAGAAGTACATACAGTGATAGCATTTGATGCGGCAGCGGCGGCCGCGGCTGCGGCGGCGACGTGCGCGGAAATGTACACAGACGTGCCGTGACCGGCGGTTTGGTTCTGCACACAAGAGAAAGAGTGCACGCCGCGATTACCGAAAGGGTTCAAGAACTGATCGCCTGTGCCCCTCGACGAAGGTGCCGTTAAGTCCACGGGGCTACTAGGGTTGCTTTCGTCAACTTCGTCGCGACACACGTCCACCTCGACGTCCTCGTCTTCCTGATAATTTCCGTTTCTGCTTCCAGGACGCGCTTCCTCTTCCTCCTCCTCGTGTTCCTCGTCGTCTTCTTCGTCTTCAAGAATATTCCTCCTGATTCCCCCTGAGGTATTTCTGTCCCCTTCGTCCTCTTCCTCCTCGTTTTGCTCCTCTTCCTCCTCGACTCCGTCCGTGTCCATCCGTTTCTCTTTCACCGACGACGTGTCCATCTCATGGAACTGGTCTCTCTCGACGGATCGGAGAATCGGCGAGGTCGACGGCGAGTGTTGATGACGGAGGCTGTCGTAGCGCGCGAAGGGCTCCTGGGCAGTGCGTACGTGGAGCAACACGTGCCTCCTTTCTTGACCCGGTAGCGAGAGTCCGGTACGCATATCCGGTTCCTCCCGCGATAGGACGAGCGGACCTACGGGCGACGCGGTCCTGCCTTCCTGCATCCTCCACATATCCTCGTTTACCTCGGTTCGTTCATGCCGCGGGACTGCGACGCCGTCTCTCTCCCCGTCGATTGGCGATCACTCTGACGATACTCAAAAACCGTACCTCGGGTAGATTATCCCGCTACGAGGCATCACTCACACCGAAAGGTACGTCACATCTTCTTGGATCATCACTAACGTTTAATCCACGAATCCACACTTCGTGTTGCACTTTGTGATTCTCCCGCACGATACGCTCTGTTCACCGTGCTGATTTTATTTAACGAGAAGTACAAAGCACTGATCACTAGAACGAGAAACAATCGAGATGATAGCGGGAGACGACCGCAAAGGGGTATCGGCGAGCGATCAGCGTGGTCGGTGCTGCGATTAGCGCTGTCTTTGGTAGACAGAAGCCGCGCGCGTCCCGTGAAACCGACTCTCGGGACATCCACGCAGAGCCATGGTGGCTGAATAGGTGGTAGGTATATCGTCGTATTATTAGTAGCGAGTAGCAAGGAACCGTCGTAAGAGTCGTAGCCGCGGCGGAAACCAACGAAACACCCTGGGTGGGGTGTTGTTCCGCCTAAAATGGGCGTGGTTCCACCCCCGCTGGGGTTGCCGGCGACGCTCGGCGTCGGTCGTCGTCGGGGGCGTGCAACACGCCCGCGCTTCGTTCGGGGGTTGCGCGCACACACGTGCTACCCCTTGTTCGTGGTGGTCTGTCCGAGTCCGAGACCGGAGACCCGAGGCGATCGTTCGCGCGCGCGAGTGAACGCACCGCTACACGATCAACGGTAGCGCACCCAGACCCGCGAATCGAATCTGAATGGACACGGACACGAACGCGGAGCGGCGCGTGCAGACGTTCCGCGGCCCCACGAGCGAGCTTTCGCCAGATACTCGGCTATGTACACACGGAGAGTCTACCTTTCCCTCCTCCTTCTGCCCCTTGCCCGTGTCTTGTCTTCTCTTCTATCCGGCCCACCCTACTCTTTGCCTGGTTCCGCGATCCGACCGGTTAAAGTGGTTTGTCTTTGATTTAACCACCACCACCACCGGCAACGTCGCCACCACTACCGCCGCCACCGCCGCCGCCACTACCACCACCACCCTCGCCAAGGGGGAACCTTTCGCTTTTCCCTCGTTTCCATCGTTCAACGTTTCCCGAAGGATGTGTGGAGGATAGTCGCTTCCGGTATTCGCGATCGTGAAACAGCGCCGGGTTTGTCGATGATCTTAGCGCGTTGGAGGCGGAGCGCCGGGATCAGTTGTGTACGGTAATCGTGTCGGGAGTATAATCGAGCTGGTTACGGTGGGTATCTCCGACTTTATCACCCTTCTACGCATGCCACGAGCGGAGATTGTCTGTTCCTTTCTCTATCGCTCCCATCCCTTAGTTCGTCGCTCGGTTCCCCTCGCGAGAGATTCTAGGAGACGAGAGAGAATGCGAACCGATGGTATATGCACGGTCGACCGGTCGCTCGGATAGAAGAGCCGGCGTTGCCAATGCCGGTAGTGCCGGGGTGCTGTTGCTGCTACCACCGCCGCTCTTAACTCGGCGCGCGGATATTGTTTACCCGACCATTTAGGTAATTGCTGGCCTACCGCCCTGCCAGCCAATCGAACGTAACCGGCGGATGAGCCTGCAATACCGAGTCCACCCTCTCTTCGCTCCCGTTTGTATGCTTCAGCGTAGGTGTAGTCGTGCTTTCTCTCTCTCTCTCTCTCTCTCTCTCTCTCTCTCCCTCTCCCCTTCTCTCTCGTTCCTCCTCTACCCGGTCGCGATTTTTCATCTTTTTTTCTCCGTCGACGCCAACACCGTTCGCCGTTCTCTCTTGTTTGTCGTTCGATTCGCGTTTCGAAGCTTCCCTCCGATCGTCATCGAATTAGCTCGGGCCCAATCGTTCGGCGAGATTGACGCCGCTGCTCTCCCAACGATGATCGATTCTTTCCACGAAATTGGAGAGATACCCGGTAACGGCTACGGCCACGGTAACGCGGTGTCGTGACCGCCGCTAACGGCGACCGGTTCTATCGAACCGTTAATACATATTGCCCATTGATTGATCATCGTTTCGATTAAGCGGGACGATCGCTATTGTTAATGGTTCGATCGACGGCGATGGTTACGCAAACGTTCTTAGCTAAGGGTCTAATTAGTCGGATAGGAGGGATGAGAACCGACCTCGTTGGTTGTCGTCAAATTGCGTAATTCCAGTATCTCTCACTTTTAAAATCACTTGCTAGTTCAAAGAGACTAAATACTAGGATTTATTAAGAATAATGAGCAAATGAAATGCTGCGTTCAGATAAGATTTGTTGCGATAAAGCTGAATAATTGTTCAACGGCTACTATCTTTTTATTTACGTATGTATAATAATTACGTAATTTTTATACACGTATCTATATGATAATTACGTACTTTTTATACATGCATAATAATTACGTCTCAGCTGAAGGAGGTTACCTAAGTACCTCTTCTGTTCTTTATGTTATGAAAAAGCTTCATAGACTGTACCATAAGCTAGGCATTAAAATGAATTTTGTCTTCATTCTCTGAGAAATAAAGACGTAAATTCGAATGACATAAACACATACTTCTGACCAAAAACCCTTAAAGGGTAACATTGACATTTTGCCTTATTGCACTGCTATCGGAATTTACCCCTTCAAATCAGTAGTTTTGTGTGTCAGTATGATCAAAAAGTTTTTTTATACACATACATGTACTGGCTGTCTTAGTTAAAGGAGGGTACCTGACTATGTTTTTGCTGGATTTCATGTTGTGAGAAAGTTTCATAGCACGATTTAAGGATGTATTGGCTATACAG